AGAGAGAGAGAGAGAGAGAGAGAGAGAGAGAGAGAGAGAGAGAAAGATTGAGAGAGAGACCTGCTCGTCTGGGCACCAGCCCTACTTTTATGTGTCCCTTTAGGTACATGTCAGCAAACTTTGGTGTGGATAGACTTACCAGAGCACAGCAAAACGTTATCCCTGTTCTGGACTTGGGTGGCACAAACCAGTGTTCCTGTGTTACTGCAGCCTTGCAGGTGCATTCTCTTTGGCTCACAGGGTTTGTGTATGTATGTATGTATGTATGTATGTATGTATGTATGTATGTATGTGAAAGTATTTCTTTTTTTAAAGATTTTTTTTATTTATTATGTATACAACATTCTGCTTGCGTGTATATCTGCACACCAGAAGAGGGTACCAGATCTCATTACGGATGGCTGTGAGCCACCATGTGGTTGCTGGGAATTGAACTCAGGACCTCTGGGAGAGCAGTCAGTGCTCTTAACCTCTGAGCCATCTCTCCAGCCCATGAAAGTATTTCTTGCCAGTGTTAAGAAATAGGCCTTATGATTGAGAATTGGAAGCTGAGAAGTGGCAGAAATTACATTCTCCTTAGCTCCAGGACTACCCTTCTTTTTCATCCAGTCCATGTTCTGACACCGGCTTTCTGAGTTGGTGAAGCCTAGTCTAGATAGTCCAGTGTTCTGAGATGCAGCATAGTGTAAACACTGAGGTCACAGCACCAGTTCTGTGCTGCAGCCGGGAAGAGGCCTTTTAAGAGGGACCAGGATGTCCTCATGTATATAGAAAAGCACTGTCACTAGTCATCAGTGAAATGCAAAGCAGAACTGCAGTGAGATACATCTGCAATCCAGCTGCATGCATAGTGTCGAAAGGACAAAGGGTAATGAGAATTGTGAGGATGTAGAGAAAAGGGATCCTTAAGTGCTGTAGAGAATGTAAAGAAAAGAGAATATGGGAGACATCTCATTCAAACCACACAACATGGAATCTTAAAGTCAATCTCATAGAGGTTGAGACTAAAACAATGGTTACCAGGGGCAAGGGAAGATGGCAGAAGGAAAGGTGAGGCTTGTCTCTAGGTGGGGGCAGAGTAGGTTCTGGTGCTGTTTTTGCATGGTAGAGTGATTACAGTTAATGTTGTGTATGTTTCAAAATTGATAGGAGAGGACTTGGGGTGTTCTTATCACAGAGAAATAATATTCAAGGTAATTAATGTTTTTAACTTAATCTGATCAGTATAATATATATTATATTATACATATTAGTATATATATCAATATATATATATATAACAAAGTATCACATTGTACCCCATA